CGTTACCTAACTACAATACTTATATATATATATATATATATATATAACAGAACACATTCAGATGAATAAATTGGTGCAAGCAATCGACAACGCAACACAAACCTGTGAGCCACCTCCGGAAGTGGGTTTAATGATCATGGGGAAGCCAACCACCTCAGACGCATTGGTGCAGTCCGCAATGGTAAAGATACTCGCAGAGGCAGGGGTATTAAGACCAGCCCGTTCCAGAGCCTTACGCGTAGCATACTTATCCCTGGCCATTACATACGAAGCATGGAGATTACCGGGCAACTTCAGGGCATCACATACGCCGCCTACAATGGGCTGTGTGCTCTCGTGAGGAGACCAGCACCCGTCAATGTGTGGACTGCCAGCGGCTTTCCACGCGGCTACTACGTTCTCACTTGCGTCGTCTTCGCCCATCTTGGCGAACAGCTGGTAGAGGACAATTAACGAGGCATTAGAATACTTGTCCCTGGACAACTGACGGTTATCAGACTCTGTGGAAGTACGCTAAAGTATACCATTAATTCGCCGAGTAGGCGGTTTATACACATGTACTCACAGCTAAAAGTTTACAAGAAAATATTAAATGGCACAAACAACCCAGATATTTTTATACCGAGCGAATCGTAGTTCACGCAAGCACGACAAATTGCTTGCAGGTATCAAACACATACCTCGTGATGGAAGCACTTGCCGGCTTTGGCCATGGCGTAGTAATTGTCATTCTCCTTGCCTTCCTCGAACACAGAGTACACTGTGACACCCCAATCCATAAAGTCTCTGTAAAGCGGCGGCCCGGAGGATGGGTGTTAGAACATTGAGTACATGTGCAACATAGCAGAGTTTACTTTTACGCCACCACATTTGTTGCAGCAGTACTTACTCGTAAAACCACGTTTCATGCAGATAAGCTACCTCACAAGTATGCGGAGGACATATATACGTACGAGATCAGTGAACGTATGCCTCGTTCATTGCATTGTCATTGCTAGATACATCAGAAGCTATGCTGTACTCGGCAGTACAATACAAGACTGAATAGTTAGTTGAATATTGCTAAGCTCTCAACTCGTGCCCACGCACCGGTTCGGCAACTGACGAACAACAACACATGTACATGACCATGCACATAATACAATATATATG